AGCTCGTCACCTCTCTCAGTCTGTTCCTAGTCAAGTTCAATATCTCTAGATTAACCAGCGGACACAGAGCACCTTCTGGTATGCTCCACATGTTGTTCTCGCCGAGATCCAGCTTCTCCAGTTGCCTCAGCTCATCCGTGAACGCGCCAGCGGAGACATCCAACGCCATCGCCGACCAGTCGGTGTTGTGCGTCCTCACGGTCAGGTTACGCAACTCCTTTAATCCTTTGAACGCGTCGTCGGACAGGTTACCGATCTTGCAGTACTCGATCACCAGTTCTCTCAGTTCGACCAACGGTCTGAAGCTACCAGCGCTCAACGAGCTCTGATAAAATAGAGCATCGCTGCATTCCAGCTGCAGCCTGACCGTATGCTGCGGCTGTATCACGCTGAAATTCGTGTTCTCCAGCTCGCTGTTGATGGTCCTCAGTCTACAGACCAACGAGACGTCGTCCTCAGTGTCCCCAGTCGCGACCCACTTGCACTCGTCCGGCGCTTTGTACCTGAGCGCCTTGCTAAGGGACGCGCCCAGGACACCGAATATCGTGCCGAGTAATATGGCGAAGAACGCAGGACTGCCCCGCATCTTTCCGCCAGTTTTTGATCCTCAATCTCCCATGAAAACCTTTTTAGAGCTCGAGAGAGCGTCCACCAGGCGTCGCACCTCCTCTATCTATCGCGAAACCGGCCGCGATCCATTTAACTCTCACCAGGTGCCAGTTAGATCCTTCTACCTCACGTCGTCCATGTCAATTCTGGTCCCTTTTCCCTCTCGAACTTTGCATCACGATCGAACAAGATCCTTCTTATCCTCGACCACGTCCCGATAACTCTTCTCTATGGTAACTCTCGCGTGTATCTCTCTTTCTCCAGGGTAGCCTGTTGTAATACGAACTTTTATAATCCTCGAGATTTCATCCTTAAACATATATAGATATACGTATATCCAGAACACTGAGAGAAACGTCGTCACGCGCGTGGGTTCACCGACCTCATCCAGAGGTACAACTACTCCCGCTGAACAGAGAGATAGAGAGCGAGAGAGAGAGCGGGAGCGAGAGACAGAGAGTGAGTGAGAGAGAGAGAGAGAGAGAGAGAGAGAGAGAGAGAGAGAGGAGGAAGAGAGGAAGAGGAAGGAAAAATTCCGGAGAACGACGAAAAGTCACAAGACGGTTGAATACACGCGTATATACGGCTCCGGTAAGACCCACGGTTCTCCGAGGACTGGTTGGCAAGTTGTAAGGCCCGAACTGGCACCGCTACCCTCGCCCCTCCGCCCACCCTTGCTCCGCTCCGTTCTCCTCTGCCCCTCCCGGCCGTCTTTCCTTCCCCCACTCTCTTCGTACACCTTCTCTCCTCGTCGTCTTCGTCGTCCTCGTCGTCGTCCGTCGTCGTCGTCGTCGCCGTCGTACTCGTCGTCTTCTTCGTCGTCGTGGTCGTCGTCGTGGTCGTCCGGGGCCCCAACGTTCTGGCAAGCCTATAAAAACAAGACAGGTACACTCTCCGGGGCCCTTACAGTGGCTCCTCAGCATCTGCAGCCTCCATCCACCAGGTTATTCCCCTCCTTCTTCGACACAGACACGTTCGCGGAGCTCCCTCTTCGTTTATCTCGCGTCTCTCCGGCCTCTTCGTACACACTCCTCATCTCTCGCGTTTCCCCTGCACCAGTATCGGGGACTTCTCTCTCTTTCTCTCTTCGCCACTCTAGCTGACCAAAGCCAGGCGCGCGCGTTTCCTCTTCGTCTGTTTCGTCGTCGTTGTCGTCGTTCCTCCACGGCGTATTGCGCCCGTTCGATTCGTCCGTGAAACCTTGCCTCACCGTCATCTGTTCTCACATCGTTTCTACGATTCTGTCACGAAGAATGAAACCTCGAAAAAGAATGTTTGCTCAATGCCTTTGTGCGAATCCCGTTCCCATTCGCATTCCAGTTGTCGCGGAGTCCTGCGGCTAGTATTTTGCAACTAGCCTCCTCGCCTGGCTTTCTTCTCTTTCCATCACCGCTTCTCGCGTCTCTGTCGATTTATAATCCACGCGAGTGGCTGCTCGCACGCATGCGTGTACGCACTCGATGTGTTACACGCGTGTAGACGGTGTATGTAGATGGGGTGTATTGTTCTTTTGTCGCGTGCATTTGTCGCTTCGTCGCGAAAATCGCCGATAATGGCGAACGAAACGAGAGAACGGTTGGGGAGAGGGTGGAAATGTGAGATACTACGGTCTTGATCTCTATATGCTGCTGACGTGTGTAAAAATGGTTGGAGATTAGGTGTTGCGAAGCTTGTCGCCTTCGTGCACGTGAATCTAGCGTTTCTTGTGTCGAACGTGAGATTCTAATTATTCTGCATATCTAATTATTGCAAACTCGTGTGAACAAGCAGAGTTTCTTAATTCATTTTTCTCTAAAATAATACCGTGAGACAATTAAAGGAATTGAATGCTTTATGAAAAATAATTTTTTTCTTCGGAGGCTGTTCAGGTCAAAGACCACAATAAGCACACCTCGCATTCCCCGCTCTCTCCTCGAAATTCGTGATTACGAAAGAAAGAAAGGGGCGCAGAAGCGTGCGTCACCGTTGAATAGCGTTGCTCTTTTTGTAAAAGTAGCAAGTGAAATACTTTCCTTTCACGCGGTCACTTTTCCGCTGCGTCATTATTAGCTTTATGGTCTGTTTGGGATTCGCGCATTCCCCGGGCTACCTCCATTCAGTGTAAAACGATCGGACGCATTGTGTCAGGAATCGTGCGTTAGGGACACGTCAAGTGGTTCCCCACAGAGAGACGAGGAGGCATGGTGGTGGTGAGGTTGTGATGGAAGAAGAAGAAGAAGTCCGCCTCCTTTCAGAAAACACAGTGTGCTCGGTAGCTTCCATCTCTCCGTCGTTGAAAAGTGATTTGTTACCTTTGCCTGGACGAAAGTGAGGGGGCCCCGGCATTGGCAGGCCTGAGGTTTGGCCCCTCTTCTCGAAATACGTCGCGTCGTTCCTTCGCCGCGGTTGATTTACTCATCGAAATTCAAATAGGAGGATACATCATTTTCATCGGCCCAATAAAAGTATCATTAGTAAAATGAACGCCGCTGAGACCGGCTTCGATTCGTTCCGGACCCCGCGTCCTCGCTTATGCGCTCGTTCAAGTCACTGGAAAAACGTTCCTCTCGGAGCGCGTGTGCTTCGGAATTATTTCTACGAGGGTAGGATTTATAATTAGCCGAGCTGCTCGACCGATTGATATATTCCAACGTTAGAAATTCGATTAAACAATCTCTCAGGATCGCTCTTTCAGATTAAACGAACAGTTTTTCACATATTTTATTAATTATCACGAGTACAGAAGGAAGAGTTATTGACATCTAAGGGCTGCCAGAACCGCGAATAAAGCAAAATGAAAGATAAAAGAAACATTCTTACTGAATAAAAAGGAATTATGAAATTATCTAGCATCTTAGTAACAATTATTCAATCTACAATCTCAGCGTATAACGACTACGTATATTTCTGTTAGTATACGACGCTAGCTTCACGAAAGAAGATGTGATAATGGAAGAAAATGAATATAATGGGTGTCCTAATAATTACGAACAGTAGTGCATTACTGAAATTATCCACTAGCGACGAAAATAATAGAGGTGATCGCTTCGTACGGTTCACCCTATATTTCAGCCGAGTTGAAAGAGTACTTGCACTTCTTTCCGATTATAATACTTGTTACACACCTATAGTAATTATTTGATGGAAGGGAAACGAAATAACGGACAGTGGCCGTTGTGTCATTAATAGCGTGGCAGGGAGAAAATGAATCGTACGATGGAAGTGGATCTCGTGTATTTTATCGTCCAGCTTCATTGATCCTTATTACAAGATCTTTACCAAGGCCGCGGGCTTAAATCGGTGTAATATTTCACCTTTCCGCATCGGTCGTCGGCAGCGGCGTGTTAATATCGTCGGTGGCCTGCGTTTTAGCCGTGCTGGCTGGGGTATCCGGTGTTTCGCGGATTAATCGCGTATCACACGTTCCCCGAGCGAAAGTCTGACGAATTCGCCGCTTCTCGATCCCTCCCACTGCGCCTCTCCCCCGATCGCCCGCTAATTTACATGGAATTCCGGGGTTCTTCTAGGAAACGGTGGCTCGTTTCCACGTAACAGATCGTTCGTTCTTCTACCTGCGATTCGAACGGGCAAGCGTATCAATTCGAAGATAAGAAAAGAGAAAATATAAACTCTCGTGCTTCATTATGAAACATTGAAGAGCCTTGTTATAGCCCGGTTGTATTTTCCTTTTTACGTATGCTCCTTTGCATATCTATATATTTATAGTCCCGACTTGTTACGTGCATAGAGAGGATGCAGATTGAATCGTTCTACTCGTAGCAGATGTACCCATATCCTGGTATATTTAAAAAAGGATTAAAAACACATTAAAAATTGGAATAAAAATTTCCTCCTCAATTTGATCAATCTACCAAACGCAGTAAATTCGCGAAGACGGCTTAATTATCCGAAACCTATCGAATTCTACCGTTCCAATGGAAACGATCGATCTTCACAACAAACCTCCCCAAAAATTACAGCTCACAAGGTTCGATAATTCTTCGAAATGCC